AAACAAAAGTTGTGCGAAATTACGGCTATAGTCCGCTCTTTTTTTGTTTCTCGCTTTACATTCGTCGTGTGCTCCGCCGTAACAATTGTTAAACATTCGTTGTTTTAGATTGCGAGGGAAGAGGAGAAAAAAAAGAATCGCGTAACGGCGAGGAGCGGAGGTAACGTTCAACAGACAGACACGGCTTAATGAGCACGGATCTCCCCGACAGTTCCGCAAACTTGGAGCGCGCAATCGAATTTATTAACCCATTTATTAATTCGTTGCCGGGCGTTTGTTTATCGAACATTCGTCTACCGGAGCTTTTGGTCCGAACTGATAAAGTTTCGCCGCGATGTTTCGCGCGCTGTGAAAACGGCACGGGGGAAAATCGCAACGCTAAAGTTAGCAGCGAACGGGGCGAAAAAAAAGATCGAGTTAATAAGCCGATTAGCGATCAAAGGACCCGGGATATTCCGACGCGGCGCGAGCAAAGGGAGAGGGATTTTTGCTGGCAAACAACGCTGCAAAATTTATCGCCTATATTGTCGGCTAAACATGGGGCGTTCGGAAAAAAAGTGAAAGCAAAACGGGCAGGCGCGATACACGGCCAAGTGGTGCATCGGTCGCGAAATGCGGAGTTCGTTGTCGCGAGAGCTTTCCGAGAGCCTTCGATTCTTCGTCTTTAACGGTGCGCGCGGTTGAAGAAATTTGCGAGAAAAGGCTGAAGTGACATCAAATATTCCGTTTCCGTTCACGCCGCGACCGAGGAATTGTTGGTGTATTTTATTCTATAAAAGAACCGAGAGAGAGAGATACAATATTGATGTAACGGTTGCAAATGTAAGGGAACTTAAGCGGTACTTAACGTTTGAACACAAATATTTCATAACAAATTTATAACAAATATTGTCATAACAATTTTTTGGTTTTGCGATATAAATGCTTTTATTATTATATGTATAAAGAACGAAAAACAATTACTGAATTACAATTTTGTAATAAACCTGTTTAAATACATATAACTGGTTTAAATAAATAAATGTCATTTAGGGTGTCTTCCTTTTTAATAATTTTATCACAAATTTTGATGAATTTGGCATGAAACTTAAAGAAAAAAAAAACAGGGTTAGAAATATATAATATGCATTGTAGCATAGAATACACGGAAAGTATTTACAAGTAACTCTCCTTCACTAATATGAGACGGAAGAAGTATCTAGTACTGTAAAAACACAACAGAATATAACGTTACACTCAAATAACACATAAAGACTTGAGAATGGCTGCTGTCTGGTTGTAGACGATGCTATACTGACATAGTTTCGAGAAATCCCCGCAGATTACATCATTTGATGGCAGAAATAAAGATTTTACTCCGTTCTACACCCCACGTTCCTCTACAATATATATTAACTTTTGTGTAACTGATACTTCTTTATATATAATTCTCTGCTGTTCAACATAAACTTGACAGGGTAATTAGTGGAATTCTTGTGAATCCATTTACCCAAAACATTAAAAACAATAATGATAACAATATATATTGTTATTTTGGTTAATTATTTCTTTATAATCCTCTACTGTTGACCATAAACTTGACACGGTAATTATATGGAACTTTTATGAATAAATAAAAAGTAGAAAATTATAAGGCAGCAGTTACATGAAATGACAATATATAGTTATTATTATTATTTTTAATGTTTTAGGTAAATGGATTCACAAGAGTTACATTACCATGACCGTGTCAAATTTATGTTAAACAACGGAGAATTATAAGAAAGTAGTTACACGAAAGTTAATTAACAGGTAATAAGATAGACTTGAGATTAATTATTCGCAATGAGAAAAATATATAAGAAGCTTGCTAGAACTCGGAAATATGATAAAAATGAAAAAGAGACAGAATTTCTTTCCGTACAACATGACGTTTTGACAGAGAAGATTTTCCAACGCTTTCCGTGATTTTTAAAAACTTCCGCGCAGTCTTTCAATATTTTTAATTCTTTAGAACATTTTGGATTACATCTCTCGGAGGTACGAAATTCCCGATAGAAATAATAAAAGCAAAAAAGGGGACACGCGGAAGAGAATCGCGCAGCGCACGTTATTTAAATTGTTAAATTCTATACGCCGGCGTCCTACTATTTATAAAACGGAGTGCGCGATACCGAGAACAACAGCGATATGTATACACACGCGTACAATTTCCATATACGTTTTACGATACTCCAACCGACTGGACCAACAATCCTAAACTCGACAAGAAGTGGCAGTGGCGGGGGTACGTACGGTGGAGGTACGTAAGGTAAAAAAAAAAACAGGGATGAATCTTATAGG